ACACTTAACACCACACAGCTGGTCAAGAAGGCCCAATGGTGGCTATACTTCTTGAGGAGGCTGAGGAGGTTTGGCATGTCGCCTAGGATCCTTTGCAACTTCTACAGCTGCATCATTGAGAGCATCTTGACCAGCTGCATCACTGTCTGGTATGGCAGCACTACTGCTATGGACCGCAAGTGCCTGTAGAGAGTGGTAAAGACTGTTGAGAAGATCACCAGGACTCCACTGCCCTCTCTGCAGAGCATTTACCACCGCAGGGTGCGTAGGAAAGTTGCTTCCATCCTCAAAGACCCCACCCACCCCCAGCACGGACTGTTCACCTCCCTACCCTCTGGCCGGAGGTTCAGAAGTGTGAAATGCAGGACCTCCAGACTGAAAAACTCTTTCTTTCCCTCTGTCATCAGACTCCTAAACAGCTGAGGAGTTTATTATCAGGAAATACGTCATGTACTGCTGACCTGTACTGCTGACCTGTACTGTTTACATTCTCCGTTTACACATGCATAATTGCACAATGGCTGTTGACTGCTGCACATGCTGCTCCCATGCAGCATACATTCTCTTATTATATTTTTATTATATTGCTGCTATTATATTGCCTAGATTTTGTGTTACTTATTTATCTACTTTATATTTCATTTGTATTTTGTGGCATTCATGTGGTTGGCAAAGTAAGAATTTTATTGTACAAGGAAACACTCTTCCTAACTGTGCATATGACAAAGTGCATATGACAAATAAACACTTTGACCTTTGACCTTTAGCTTGGGCAGTTTGTGCATTCCTTGGGCAATCTTTTTCTTTTTGTGTGACTTTAACAAGGAACCTATCCAATGACACTTGCTTTTGCCTCCTTTACAAGGATTTGCCAGATTTTACACATCTCCCTTATAAAATCTTGCAGCGTTAGCCACTCGCTTACCTTGCTCATGCTTCTCGATGATTTCCTTTTTAACTTCCACCATAATCATCTCCTTTTTCTTACCACCTTTCTTTTCAACCTTTATATTTTCTTCATCTGGGCCATTGTTGCAGTACAGAT